AGTCAGATATACAATCGAGTCGGTTGGAACTCAACCAAACTCAAGAAATCCTAATCTGCTCCGTTGGGCGTGAATTCATTTCTGGTTTCTCCTACTCTTTACAGCGCTCGTTGGAACCTCGCAACCGAGTCGCCATTTTGTTCGTTGAATGCCCAGGCGCGTATCAGTGTTTTGTGTATCCCCACGGGGGATACACATATCACTAGCGATATGTGTGCGGGGATACACATATCACGGGGATACACATATCACTGTGACACCGGCCAGCGTCTGTCTGATTGACTGAATCTATAGAAAGATTCACTTTACCGGCCGGAGCGTCGATTATCAGTCCTAAAGATAGTAAATCAAACGAAACACTACATTTTTACATTCCCTTCATAACTTCCTCGAAGCGGGCATTTATGCCATTATTTTAGTTCCAAGGATTTCCACTCTGCCTACATATCAGGCAAAAAAAGCACCAATTCATGAGAGTTACAATTCCAAATAAACTACTTTTAATTCTTAGCATACCTAGTATTTTATCTCTTCAGTATTGTTTTTAACGAAAAGCTACCAAAAATGATCAAATCTTGCTTTTTGGGGAAATGTTTAGGAGAGATCGTTTTTAATTTTTCTTTTTTTTCTAAACTGTGAAGAACGTATTCCCCAGGGTTACCTATAGAACGAGGAAAAATCGCAAAATTTTGAAAAATTAATTAGTGGCAGATTGCGATCTCCAACGTCTCTTTGAGAGTGAATGTTGTGCATGTGGAATTACGCAACAATTTTAAATGGGATTTAAAAATAGAATCTTTTTGCATTTGAATGTATGGTGGTCATGTTTATCGTTCATATCCAATTGATGCTATGCTTCAACTTTCAACTTTAACCTCACGTCGCCTTTGCGGACACCGCCTTCCGTGGGCAGAAAAAATTGGTCGAAAAATGCGAAGCCGTGCCTTATTGGCTACTTATTAAACTTTTCTGGTAATTCTATACCCACCATTTGATCAGTAAATGGTTCAGATTGCTAAGGAGCAAATATGCAAAGATAGTGTCAGTTAAAAGTTAAAAGATCCTCAAGTATGGTGAAGAAGTAAGCCCAATGTGTACTGATTCAGTTGATCTGAAGGGAAGTTGTAAAAAGGTCTTGTGCGTATCCTTTTAGACGCTCTTTTCACGGGATTCTAACGTTGTTCAACGGAAAGAGTTATTTTTTCGATTCCCTTAGCAACTTCAGGAAAACCTCTTTTTCTCAATTACAGTGCCCAGTCCTTGCTCTATCATGAGGATGAACTGGGCTTGCCCCTTATCTGTAGACCAACGTGAAGGTGTATATAAACTCAGTAGTTCTTGTACAATTCAGCTGTTTATATGTTTGTCTGAGAGAAACCCTCTAAAAATCGAGCACAGAGGTATGCATTTTTGCGCTAAATGACAGAACGGTACTTCAGTAAAAGAGGAAGCTTCTCCAGGGATTTCAAGTACTTTTGAACCGCTCGTGAAACAGATAGTCAAATTGTAAAACTTTAAAATAAGAAAGTGGCAGTTTAATTTACTTGAAGTCCGTTCCAAACTAACAACGACTGACGATTAAAACTTAGTTAGAACAGTGGAGAAAAATTAAGAGACAGGTGTTGACGAAACAGAACGTCAATTACATGGAAAAAATTCGAAAAACGCTTAAAGTGCATGTATGTTATCGACGGCCTCCAATCTACAAGTACGGTAAATTATACAGGAGTGGAAGCTTTTTAAATATAATTCTTCCCCTTCATGTTGTTTATATGAATTACAGTTTGAAGAAATGGGGAAGAGAAAATGAGTTAGACTTGAATTACAGGCCCTTGAACTAAATTACATTTACTTAAGGAGAAAAAGGAAACCTTAATAAAAGAGAGGAAAAGACTGAATTCAAACAGTAATGTAAGATGCCACAATAGTCCATGCTACACTTCTTAGTACTGAACGAAACAATACTGGTAAAGTGGTCTCTTAAATAGTTTTCTAGATGGTTTAACTGAAAGATTAAGGGCCCATTATGGAATATCATTCCAGTGATAGCATCCAATGACAGCACCCAGTAATAGTCGGGCAAACTTTCCTTATATTAATTCCGAAAGAACTTGGATTTAGGTGTTGTAAGGATGTACTTCGAGTAGCGTTATTACGTCGCCCAGATGCAACGGTTAGGAGAGGGAGTTGTCCTAAAATAAGTCGCCTTAACCACGTTAACTGTATCGGAAAATTCCCTCACACCACTGATAGGGCCGCACGTGCACAAGTGTCATATCAGCCGGGCTAGGCATGCACAGTATGTCACTGCATTCACTCACGTTTCTTCGCCCATTTATCATCTTCAGTGATTTTCTTACCTCAGTTCAAGAGAGCAAAGAAGATTTAACGGATATAAGCCGCTGCAATGGTTCTTCCTCAGTCCAGCGAATCTTAAAAAGTTCGGTACTGGGATCGCCCACGTCACCTTTCTCCTTCCCATTTCTAATCGCTTTCACAAGGGGAAGTCAGTAGGAAGGAAGCGGTATAATTGTTCGTCTGCGATATTTTAAGTCACAATAAGCTCAGTATTAAAACTTCACGGAAAACTTAGTACTGCACGGTTCCCTTTTTTCTGTCTCAGTGCACTTTAAAACAAGTGAGGAACTTAGGGGAAAGTTCTTTGATAAAATGCCAAGTCTTCAATGCTCCGGTAATGCGCTTAGGGATGCAAGATTCTCTTGTTCAAAGTGGACTCAAATCTTAAACATGGGTCAAGCACAACAAACCACCAAACGAATGTTTACTCTCGCTTCAGACTCGTTCGAGGTCGCACAACGATCCTTTGGAGCTACAAATATAAATATACCGCAAACCACAAATATGCCTCTAGTACCTTTTTTGAGAGAAAATTCTTAACCAGTCATGCAATTTCAAATTGTATCAGTCGCCGCGTGTGGCCAGGTTTGAGAACTATTTCAGAAGTGAGGAAAAAATGTAACTACTATCAGTGGGGCTGTTGTACATTGATCAAGATGTAAAGTGATTTTAACTTCGTTGAAAAGCAACACCAAAAACAAACGCCTTTTCGGTGTGTTGGTTATCGAGTTATTTTTCTAGTCCTTCAGCACAGGACGAATTTTACGACTTTGAGCGCGTTTCCCGCGGGTATTTCCCGAATACAGTATACAAAAGGCATTCCCGTTTTTTCCTCTTCTTTTTGCTGCGATTATCAGAGCGTACGGGCAACAAAAAGAGCGGAAGCCGAGGAAACCCAAACGCACATAAATTTTCTACATTGGAATCCAGCGTTGCGTGTTCGAGCTTATCAGAATGTTTAAGCTCGTCTTGGAAAAACAACGCGGCATAGACTTAATTATAGACTTATTATAAACGTCCAACACTACAATCCTCAGGGATTTATTGGTCATTGCACAATCAGCAGATAAAATCACACTTCGCTTTATTATTTCAACTAATGGTATTTTAACTTGAAAGTATAAATAGTTATTATTTACAGGCCAACATACCGTCAGGCAAAAAGATAGTAGTGCCACAAAAAATACATGTCTCTATCAAAATAACAAATTGTTTTTCCAAGTCACTCAAGAGTGAAGTTAATATAAACCGGTGATTTACAATACAATCATGCAATTTTCCTCATAATATACAATAAATTAGTCTCACAAGACGAAACAATAAAATTCAGTCAATAAATCCACGCGTTCAAAGGCTTCTGTTGATGGAACAAACTGCTTCCTTTACCGAACCTCGCTTGTACTCCGCACTGTACACAGCCGGCGGTGAACCAAATCAGTTCTGTAGTTAGTCGGTTGCCTACGCGCCAAAAATATGTCACTAGGAAGTTACTCATGTGCGTTCTCCATCGATAATCCTCGGCTACAAGTAAACTCAACCGAAAAAGCTCACAAATGCTTGACAAATGTCTCTTCTACGAGGAGAAAACAAGTCTATAGTTGAGTCTCTTGGTAGGACATCGCGCAACACTTGGCCTAAGAGGGGATCTTTGGAGCCGTACGCACCGACGTAAGCCTTCTCGTAAAGCGTCTTACACACCGCAGCCTCGGTCTCTAGCTTTGCGTATTCCTCTAAGAGACAACGGGTCAAAAAACTTGAGCTTGATTTCCTTCTGTTGTTAGCTCTCCCGGGCATGGTTTTCGCGGTGTCCTCGTGTGTGCTTTGAAGAGAAGAGTTCTGCTCACTCATGTCACTCGCAGCGCAGGGTACTTCTAGACAGAATTCCGAAAATTTGCCGTTTTAAGGACAATCCAAACAATGCCCACGTTTTTTTGACAAGGAATTTCTCTCAGACAATCTGTCAAGAGCATATCATTCGCAACACATCTGTTCCGAGTCACTCCAGACGGAGACGTGACTAGAATCGGGCGCTCTACTGCAATCTGAGAGAGTCCTAGGCGCCACTCCTTTGTCGATCTATATTTAGCACCACCCACCGGAGGTTCTGGAGCACCTAAGTTCTATTGTTGAGCTAGCGGATGTCACACGAAACACGTCATCATTCTATTTCCAGCTATAAGCGTTGATTGCTTGCCCAACTGAAAGGAGTTCCAAATAAACCACACACAATAGAATCTATGGGATCACACTGATGAAATACTCGATGAATGACAATGAAAATCAGTGTTCAGACCTGTTGGAAATGAGTTTCTTCACCGAGGCTACGTCCGATCGGCCCCCTCGAAACACGCAACAATTAACAAATAGTCCAATAGACAAAACACAGACAAGGCAGATAGTATCTTTATTGTAAGGTCATGCGAACTTATATTCTCTTTATTTTTTTCCTCGTGGACTGCAAAATAATCGCCAGCTTTTGGGCTGACCAAAAATTCACGGCAAAACTTGTTAAAGTGGCTTCCAATAAACGAAACTACACGAAAAAGGCTCAGTCAAAGTGGATTGGATTCAAGTACGTTTGTAAACTAGTATGTTTTTATAATAAATAATTCAGCTGTGTAATTCATAAAATCAACGGACTGCAAAAGGACAAGGGGAACATGTCATGCAACAGTCGGCGGAAATGGACTTCACAAGAGCACATGTTCTTAACATTTGGTTACAACAAAAATAATAATTAGCGAACAGGAATATTATAGAATTTTGTGGAAGGTTCGTCAAACCGAAGAAAACAAACTGAGTGATTCAAGACAAAGGTGGTTTGTACGTCTTTGATTTTACCCTGAGGTGATCCACCTATTATTAATATTTATTGTTTTCTTCGTAAACCGAAAGATAAAAGCGAGCGACTTTACAAAAACAGGATTTGAAATCTAAAGGCACTACTCAAACGTGACAGTTTTGCAAATATCACAACTTCCTTCTAAATTTAGCCGGACTTGAAAAATAAAATGGTTAAAAGGAAAACGTCCAAAATAACATAATGAAATATTATTTCTTACACGAAATCCTGATCTCTAAGAATACATTTTTTCGATCCCCTTTCTACCTGTAACATTCAAGTTTTCCCAAATAGTAAGTCGAGATTTACTGACAAGTAGTCAGAATTCCTTTGACTGAAATGATAATCAGTTGATTTATTAGTTTTTTTTTATACATCTGAACGTAAATATTTCAGTCATAAAGGGATTCTGGCGGCATCCACCATAGCATGTGTCTAATGGGATTTGCTCCTGCTGCTAGCCACGTGAAGTTTGCAAATGGTAAAGTGAAAGCCAGAAGAGACGTTTTTCTCCTATCTTTAGAAGTTCCGTACGTGCTGTTGACACCTCTCTTTATCATAGCGCGTTAGTCTCGCGGCGGATTGAGGAACAAAGGACTAAAATTATCCTCCACGACAACCGCAAAACAAAAAGCATCCGAGAAAAACGAGAACAAAACAAGTGGTGTCAACCTTAGGACTTGCCACGTTAACGCTTTCATGTACTTTTGTTTTCGTGCTTTTGCGGCGCTAACATTTTCTCTTCTTAACAAAACAGTTAGCAAGGTTTTCGATTCTTCGAGGTTTACGTTGATAAACATAAGAAGGGACAAAATGTAGTAGAATCGTTCCACGAATTTTCTTAGAAAACACGACCGGTTATCGGTATGACGTCATAACCGTACAAAAGTAGCTACTGGGGATAATTATCGTCGAAAAGCAGAAGGCCACCGAGCTTCCACACGAAAACATCCAAACTGCTTTGGTTTTTAATTTTTTATTATGGCTAGCGCAGTAATTGATTACTGCACAAAGTGATACACAAATACCAAATTGACCAAAAAATAAAAATAAGAAATGAAAATAGATCAATTCGTTCACTGATGCAAGCAGAAAAAAACGTTCAAGAATATGCAAAAGCCGAAATAAATACGCCTGCTTCTTTCCACCGACTACACGTTACTAACCAATTATTCCGTGCAAACCGGATGAAAAAACAGATGTCTTAAAATCACGTACGCGAAGGAGAACTAAAAAAAGAAACTGAAGGCTAAACGATTGAAAAGACTAAACGAAAACTCTGACCTTAGCGAGGAAAACTTCACTACCACGCGGAAAGGGCGTAGCAATAACTAACATCACGTTTGTTTCTTCTTTTCGAGTAAGAAAAATTGTGCGAACCGTGAAAATAGAAATACGAACTTTGGAAAAACAATTCCAAACTTTGCGTGAGAAGCCTGTTGTTTCGCCTGCTCGATTTCACGCAACATGGAAATTAATGTTTAATGACTTAGGTATTTAAATGGAACTTATTCTATTTATAAATATTCAAAAGGAACTGACGAATGAACAGCGATTGAAATCCACAAATAAACACGACGATAATCTCAACACCACAGATCTCTATTGATTTTTATGCTTCAAAAAAATCTTGCTCAAAGCACTTGTGTTTCAAGCACTTCGAAAACGATTGCTAACTGGTACTATCTGGCATCTTGCTTTTGAGTTACCTCTTTTAACGCAGAAGTTAACGTGACGAAATTATCTGATCACCAGGTCAAGCACATGTCTGAGAGCAAGATTCTAACACGAGAAGTCTTGGAAAAGTTTGCAAGATGGGATGAAGAAAACAGAGTGTTTCGACAGCAGTTCGAGAGCGCATGTCTAAACGTCTTCGGGGCAACCACGTCTACCTTACAAGGCAATTTAGTTTTGGTGGTCGACAACTGCTGTAACAAACACTATCCTTGGAAGGTTGACTGCAGTTTGATGATCGAAGCATTTTTAGGATGATTTTAAAATGACAAACCTGCAATAACAGCTGAATGTTTGACATGCTATTGTTTAACACTAAATACGAGGCAACGAAGCAACTGAACTTGTTATGTCCGTTAATTCTGTGCATATTGAGACAACGTTCGCTTGCCAGCGTTAATGCAGCTGTTTTTATTGAATTTTTTCAAGGAAAATACGAGAATGAACACAACTGATGAATCATTCTGATCGGGTTAACTTTTGCATTTGCTGTATACGGAGAGCATATAGAACAGACACAAAATCTTTGTGGTATATAATTGGTTAATTTCCTATTTTGCTACCATTTATTGTATAAAACGACTGAAAGGAACTAGGGATGCTACTAGCCTCTAAAACCCAAGGGAAACAAAACTCGTGCTAACCGTGGTACTCAACATTCAATCGACCTTTTTAAAAATAATTAAAAATGTCTCAGGCCAAAGTTATAACCCCTTAAACGGTAGCGTTTTCATAAGATACTTCCATAACCATTTGAAGACAATCCCATGACCGCAACTCATTTCATAAGGGTGCCCATTTGTTTACCTTGGACTAATTACCAGATAGCGTGCACGCACCAAGCTACATGTAAATAACAAAATAGCTAAATTATATGCCCTGGGATATTTAAGGTCATTTAAGGCAATTTATATGTAAACAGCAACTACTGAATTGAATTGACTATTTATAATTATATTTTTTAAAAAATACGTTCTAACTAATGAAGAACAAGTTTTTTCCTCGAAATAAAAATGTGTAAAGAAAGAGTCATTAAATTACGAAAGGAAGACGGCGGTAGTAAGTTTGCAACGTTCCGAATCGTGTAGCTGAGCAAATTCGAATGATAGTTCCGTTTTCGTGGTATATTTATTTCTCTAAATCTGTACAATATATACAATCATCTCGTCACTATGCTTTAGGAGAACACAGTTTGAAAAATGAAATCACAACGATGTCCAGAAAATACGTGTTCATGTTTTTGAAGTATAAATATTTCTCTCCTTAATTACATTTGTATTTTTCCAAACTGTTTCCCGCCAGCCACCCAAGTCCCTAACACATGCAATATCATACAAAATGTATTACTTGTGAAAAAAAAGTCTAACTTGCCAATTGCTAGAAAGAAGAAAATCTTCTCAGTACAGAAAGAACAAAGTTATATTTGCTCATTTATCATTTTGGGTTTTGTTCAGTCATAATATACACGTGCTCGCACCGATTCTCTTTCAGAGACATTTCGCATTCGTCAAGTCCCCTTTTTAGGGAGAAACCCTGGGAAAGATTTCACCATTGAAAGTGTCTTGGTCCAGTTTTAGAGTTTTGACGTGATTGTCACAGATCGAGTTGATCATAGCTTACTAAATATATGGTGTAGTATGTCACAACCTCACCCCACCACCCAGCAAATGTCCTCAGGAAACATTCAATGTCCCATAAAACACAGAGCTTGATGGATGGAGTGGGAAAGACAGGTGGTGCATCCCTCAGTAAAAATTGATTTGTCGGGCATCGGTTGGAGTCATCTCCAGCGGACAATATGGACACTTCACTCTAGTGAAAGAAAATAATCAACTTTTAAGTCTTAGGATGAAAACCTTTGATCTAGAACAATTTGTTTCTGAAGAATTGTAGAAAATTGTGGTTTTGAATATGGGACCTTTGGAACTCTTCAAAGTAAACATCTTGTGGTGAGATGAGATATTCGGATGTGTCGAAAACGAAGACCCAAAAGCGAAGACCGAAGACCTAAGACCCTGTGGTCTAAAACGAAGACCCACTGGTCTAAAACGAAGACCCTGTGGTCTAAAACGAAGACCCACTGGTCTAAAACGAAGACCCTGTGGTCTAAAACGAAGACCCACCGGTCTCAAACGAAGACCCACCGGTCTAAAACGAAGACCCACTGGTCTAAAACGAAGACCCTGTGGTCTAAAACGAAGACCCACTGGTCTAAAACGAAGACCCTGT